TATAGGGGAGGTAGGGGCAAAGCGGACCCTCTAAGCGAATCGTTTAGTTTTTTAAATTCTAATGAGTCAATGCACTTCACGTGGAGATCATAATCTCATTAGAATTGCAATTAAGATCTGTCATTAAATTTAAAAAAAAATTAATGTTGGGGCAAAGTGGACCCTCTGTTTTTTTAAAATTATTTTAATTTTCCGTTTGTCAGGAGTCATTGTCATGTTGTTCTACCGATTGGATAGAATGTAATCGCTGTTGATCAAAAACTCACATTTCTTGTTCACAATTAGATCCGCAGGAGCTCACACAAATTTATACTTGCCCTCATTGCATATTTTTTTAGTCAAGGTAGTAAATTTCACTTTATAAAACGTATTAGAATAATTCTGGCGACTCGATTCAATAATTTATGTGAGGGTCCACTTTACCCCACACTTTTTTTTTTCGAAGGGGTCCGCTTTGCCCCGGGGGTCCGCTTTGCCCCTACCTCCCCTATATCCCAAGACAATAACATCCAAAATTTAGTCCCTATAGATTTTTGGAAAAAATTTCAATGATTTTATTTGTTGCATTCTCATAAGTTATTGAGTTTTTTAATCCACATATGGTGTTGATTAAAACAACAATAATTGGTTACATCAAATAAGAAATTATTTGTTGATTCATTGTTTGAATCAAATAAGGAAGGATTTCTCGAAATTTCCTTTTTTAGAGTTGAATATCGCAAAAACTATCTGCCATCGAAAAATATGTAATATGGGCCAATTCCATATATTTTTCAAATTTATAAAGAATATGTAAAAAAATATATGATATATAGTTTATGTTTTATTCATATAAATTGGGCCAATTTAAGATATTTTTTAATATATTTTTCAAAATATAAATTTTTCCATGTGGGATGTACTATAAAATTTTACAAAAAATTCACGGTATTCGGAATTCAGCAATCTACCAGGGATTCGTTTTTTAAGAACATCGTAAGAACCGTCTTTCATTATTTATAATCTTATCCCGCGTTTAATTATTTAGTATCTCCTGTACTGTGTAGTACAGCTAGTTGGAGTTTTTTTTAATAACGGGGGAATATTATGATATTATTATTATCTATTATCACTGAAAAGTATCGGTACAATCGTAAGAAAAATTCGTCTGTTTTCTAGGGATATGCCTTAAGTGAAACCATGATTTCGAAATTAAGTCGACTTCGCTTCAAATGAAATCCATAACTTCAAATGGATCGCGATATGATTTCCTGACTGCAATTGTCTTCGAATGATTTCACAGATTTGAAATCAGTGATTTCAGGGATAATGAAATAATTGAAATCACGATGAATATTTCGAAAGTTCTTTGCATTCTCTTCCGAAATATTCATTAATTTTTAATAACTTCGGTATGATTTCAAGACTTGAGCGTATTTTCACAAATGATTTCAGAGAGTTGAAATTACGTGATTTTGGCGATTTCGATGATTTCACATGATTTTAACGTGATTTCGGATTGATTTCATCTCAGAGTGGCGCCATGATTTCGGGAGTGAGTAGCCCCGCGAGGTCAATTGCAAAAGTCGAAAAATTAATTTATATAGATTTTACAAATATGCAAATATTTTGAAAATTCCCTAGAAATTCGTAACAAATTTTACTGTGAGAAAGGTAATCGTGGAGCGAAATATAATTCAATGGAAAAATATCTATTTGTGGATATAGAAACATTGTCTGAACATTGTTGTTTAACATTGAAACTATTTACGTTTTTCTGTCGAATAATTTGTTTCGTTTTTCAATACAACCTATTTTATCGAGATATTTTTCTGAAAACTCCTCGGCTAAAAAAATCAACGTTTTTTGTTTGATTCTTTTAAAGAGAACAGAAAAAAAATGAAGGAAAGAAATTAGGGAAATTCATGTCGAGGAATTCCTATAGAAAAATTTGTATAAGAGAAGGAAATTCATTCGCTTTCTTCTATAAAAGTCTCTATTGAACATTTTCTGTAAAAGAGTGCACTCTAAAGCAGCGGAATTCTCCAATAGATGTTGAACAGAAATCAAATACAATTTTCTATCGAACTCTACGTTTTTCTAAAAAATTCTTCACACAAGCATGAAATGCATTTAATTAAACAACAATATCATTACACGAACTATTCCACAGGGATATTCTCCAAAGACACACCCACTTTCAGTACCAAAAAAAAACAATTTTCCAAGATACATGCACAAATTCCTAAACATAAAAACCAAAATCCAAATAACTAAAAATAATCTGACCCCCTAATTATTCCCCTAAAACAATACTAAAAAAAATCCCAAATATGATTCTAACTCAACATTGTGGTTATCATTCCCTTCAACAGTTCATATTTACCTCGAGAATTTGCGAAAAACGCGGCGAAAACAATGAGAAAACCTCCAACAGTCGAGCGCCCGTGGGCCCACATGTTTACTCAATTAAAAACAACACTTATAAAATTACTAAAAATAAAAAATACATGTGGTGAATGCCTCTGAATTGACACCACCCAGCCGTAAATTCGTTTATCGTTAGTCAACAGATGCCTAGCTGACGCATACACATGAGCAAGTGGCTGCGGGGCGTCGGCCAATAAGAAAAACCGTCTCCTGTCGCCATCTACGATCTCCTCAACCTCTTTACCGTCATTTCCCTACGTTGCCGACGACCCCATGGTCACCGCCATGGAGAGGGCGCCCATTTGAATTGCTCCCGGATTTTTCTCCCCGCGAAAATCACTTCGGAGAAAAATCCCCGAAAAATTTGGTATGGCGCAAGCTACAAACGAATTATTATTGCGAAATTCATTCAACGCGTCTCGACTATTCTATATCGTCATATTCGAGACAAACATCGTTCTATCCTTGCCCCTCACGAAATTTCTGGACAATTCTCGAACCTTCCATAACAAAAGGTATTTAAATCCGCACGCTCTCGACCAAATATATCAGTCAGATTCTGAAACTAGATGTAAACACATCTGATGTGATAAATACAATAGAGTTAATTCTACTGAACCAGGAGTTATTATTCTACGACATATACCTAACCGCCACATTTTTCCTTTGAAAAATTTTGCCTGGAAGAAACCCACAGAGAAAAAAAATTATTTTTGCCAAATATCCATTTACTTGAGAGAAATATTCAATTTTTCAATACCGTATTTCTCCAGTCGAGTCATTACCAGGTAATCCTCATTAGGTTTCAATTATGACAATTATATTATTGCTCTAGGAGATGATTGTGTTAGTTGTGACTTTGGTTGAACTTCCTCAATAATTATTAACAGTAAAACATCAATAGGAATGATTCCCTTTAGAAAGTAAGAAATTTAGGAAAAATGAAAAATCATTGGAGGAGTTTATTCAAGGTCATGTGCATCATAGTTATCCTCTGAAAGAACATGATTGTCACGATTGAAACATAATCAGGCTCGCCTGGGAATTACTCGATTGGAGAAATACGATTTTGAAACAATAAATACTTCTCTTAAGTAAATGAATATTCAGCAAAAATAATATTTTTTCTCAGTGCGTGTAAAATTTCCCTGGGAAATATGAAATCAGACACATTTGAACACAACATCAATTAATCTTTAATTATGTAATATCCATTATTTTCTTGAAGTCAACAATTTTTGAACATCATGAATAATTTACACACAACTTTTCGTCAAAATAGGATTCAATTATTCAAATAGAACATCTACAACCAGACAAAACTACTAACATTTCAAAAAGGTAAAATTATTAATTTTCAATATAATCAGCAACACACAAAAAATTGAATGTGAATTTAAAATTTACATATCAATATTGGTCGGTAAACAATGCATTGACTGAACAACCGCGAATGAACAAAAACGATTTTCTCATTAATTTCCAATTAGTTTCATTAATTAAATTAATTTGTTTTCTCATTAATTTTTAATCAATTTTATTAATTTAATTCAATTTCTAATCAATTTTTTCCCTCCAAGAGAAAAAAAAAACAAATTCAATGAGCATTCATGAGAATCCCACATGAAAAAAATTCGTAAGGAAAATCAATGTCAATGAGAACAATTCGCCGCGAAACACTTTTGCGATTTTCCCAGCATTTTCGAGATTTTTTCTCCCACCCCTTACCCTCGTCGCTCTTCCTTACCGACGACCCCTTGATCACCGCCATGAAGATAGCGCTCATTTGAATCTCCAGTCATCACTTGAATTATAAACTTTGGACATCACACCTAAATTACAGTGCAAATACATCCACCAAAATTTCTAGGATGACGGGTTCACGCCCATGTCCTCATTCATTCCATTTCCCTCTGCATCTCCTCACGTTATGAATGATAAACATGTCTGTCTCAGTGGAAATATCCCTCAAAATGTAGCATGCGCATGACTTTTCAAATCATCGATTAATCTCGTTAACTCTGGCTGTTGAAAATTCATTAAAAAATCCATCATGTCATGTTGCGACAGTTCTATCGCTGGTGAGCGATTTCCAGGCACCGGATGCTGCGGTAAATCTCATTGTCAATTAAAAAAAAAACGGGGCAAAATGAGTGATTTTATAAATTTTATAAATTTGAAATTTCACAAACTTTGTTTATATTTTTTTTTGAAAATGCAACGAAGTTTTCGTCATTTCCGAGATTTCTTCTCACTGTTGACTAAAATTCACCCATTTTGCCCCCGCCCCTGTCGTGAATATGAATTGGTGTTACAAAGCTACATGGACGAGTGGTATTACACAGGATCAAGCTGCGCCGGAGGTAGATCCGGATGTCTAGCGTCTGAGCCGAGGATACGCTCTTGTATGTGTCAAGAGAACGTGGGTTGTCTGGACAGGGCAGATTGCGGGGGATTTCGACCGAGAGGTACGGCTGCCACTGGAGCATGCCCTGGACCGTGTCAGTGCGCTGAGGAAGAGGCGTGGAATAGTAATTCACCGCCTAAGCCGAATTGCGAGTGGCTATCGAATTTCAGTGAGTTGAGGAGACAGTGGAGCGATCACGCGAGGAAGAATAGTTGCAAGTGTTGCAATTGTGCTCCGACGTATGTTTGAATATAAATAAAAAATTATTCTATAAAACTGGATAGGAATATTTCATGCATCTTCTTTATAATGAAGAAATTATAGAAATTGATTGTTTCAACAGTAAAAAATTCGATACGTGATAAATTCTTCAATTTCATCATTCAGTTTATTTTATAAATCCTACGCACTTGCCAATACTTCGGAATCGACTCCCATTTTGTAAAGACTTGTATTGAACGACTTTCGCATTTTTGAAAACTGCCGGGCTGTTTCCTGTCGCTGGCCATTCACGATAACGCGCATGCGCAAGCTGCGCAGTCAGCTGCGCACAACGCTCGCGAGTGAATCGACGCGATCAGTCCCACGATACCGCACATGGTGATCCACAACGCGCTAATTCGCGTCATTCATTCCACAGAAGACGAGCAACGCCGTGCAGGCCCTGTCCCTCTCCCCCAAAACCCTGCAAATCGTCCACCAGGACCTGCACCTTCGACGAAAGATTGTCCGGTGGTGCCTGCGGGGGTGCGTCCTGCGACAACGACCAGCGAAGCTACCCGGGCACTTCCGCAGGGAACTCCTGTCAGCCCTGTGCCCCAAAATCCATCCTAAAGCCCCGCAGCTGTTGCCAATGCACAGGCAACTACTGCATGTGTCAACCAATGCCCAGAAACTGCAACTGCCCGCCACCCCCGCAGGTCGATGCCCGGGCCGATCGTGAATGTTCCTGCGAGTGTCCCTCTTCCCCAGAATGCGCGTGTCCCCCGAGTGAGCGGAAATTCCCGAAGACCAAAGTTCGCTGTCCAAACGCTAGATTGTGCTGTCCAACACCTAGACCCCAGCCCGGGCCCAAGTGCAATTGCTCCAAGTGTCAGCCATGTCTTCCGCCGCCATGTGACCCCTGTACCTCAACAAAATGCCGGCCGGCGGTTGTCAAGGTCGCGCCATGTCCCCCGGAGCCACCTTGTTCACCCTGTAACCCAACTCCGGCGTGCTGTCCCAGACCATCATCCCCACCGTGTGCCCCCAGCAGACCCCAGACAGCGAACCGAGTGGGCTGCATGCCACCCTGCAGACGACCAGGTCAGTCTGCCTTTCATCCCACGATTTATTCTCGTAGTTGTGCATTTTTAAATCATGATGACATTGAAAAGGAAGTGGAGGGGACAGGTAATAGACAGCAAGTCAGGGGGAAAAAGGGTCAGTGTCAGTGCGGGGATGATGGTCGCGGGTGTGCCGATGATTGTCAATTTTGTTGTTCTGTAAATTGTGCTAAAGAATCACCGGAACTGACGAAAAATGAGACATCTAGGGTTCAGAGTCAATGCAACTGTAGCTCGTGTGCTCATAAAGGACAACTCAGGGAGGAAAAGAGTCAGTGTCAGAGCAGTGATGACGGTCGCGGGTGTTTTGATGACTGTCGATCTTATTGTTCTGTCAATTGCGCTGACGACTCCGCGGACAGAACGAATGAGATGTCTAGGGTTCGGAGTCAGCACAACTATAACTTTGATGCTCGTAAAGGACAACAACTCAGGTGGAAGAAGAGTCAATGTCAGTGCGGTGACGACGGTCGCGGGTGTTCTGATGACTGTCGATCTTGTTGTTCTGTCAATTGCGCTGACGACTCCGCGGACAGAACAAACAATGAGATGTCTAGGGTTCGCAGTCAGCACAACTATAACTTTGATGCTCGTCAAGGACAACAACTCAGGGGGAAAAAGAGTCAGTGTCAGTGCGGTGACGACGGTCGCGGGTGTTCTAATGACTGTCGATCTTGTTGTTCTGTTAATTGCGCTGATGACTCCGCGGAAAGAACGAATAATGAGATGTCTAGGGTTCGGAGTCGGCACAACTATAACTTTGATGCTAGTAAAGAACAACAACTCGGGGGGAAAAAGAGTCAGTGTCAGTGCGGTGACGCTGGTCGCGGATGTTCTGATGACTGTCGATCTTGTTGTTCTATCAATTGCGCTGAAGACACAGCGGAAAGAACGAACAATGAGATGTCTAGGGTTCGCAGTCAGCACAACTATAACTTTGATGCTCGTAAGGGACAACAACTCAGGGGGAAAAAGAGTCAGTGTCAGTGCGGTGATGACGGTCGCGGGTGTTCTGATGACTGTCGATCCTGTTGTTCTGTCAATTGCGCTGAAGACTCAGCGGAAAGAACGAAAAATGAAACGTGTCGTGGTTGTGCGGCTGACTGTCAGCACTATTGTGCGCTTGAATGTTCTCGTGAAATACATAACGACACAAGAAAGAGAATTTCCGCTGGCTCAGACGTTGAAACAACCCGGAGATATTCAAATGAGACGGGAATAATGGAAAAGCGTAATGTTGATGAACTCATTGAGAGCAACTCGAACACTCAACACTCACAGGACTCGTCACAATTAAGAGATTTGCGGGTGGTGAGGTGTTCCAGTGCTTCAGCAACTCCAAAGAGATCGACTAGACTGTTGCAGTCACTCATGCGGGGAAAATCATCAAAGGCTGGTGTTCATCATCAAGACAGTAATTACAACGGTTGAGTGGGTGAATTGGGAGGTGTAATGAGTAAGGTTCAAGTTTGTGATTTTATCGATTTGGGGGAGTAGGGCGACATCGGCACACTGCGGCATCATTATTATCTCAGATTGTGGATTATAACGAATAATAGGAAAATCTGATGTTTTTATAGAGTAATACGTTTGTAAATACAAATAACTATTAGGAAGTACTTGACAGAATATTCAGAAATTTTATTTTACCAAAACATAACATCGAAATGTTAACTTTTTGGCAATGAGTGGGGATATTTCATAGATTTTTCTCATTCTTTTATTCGATAATTCATGTCAAATTATGTCTGAGTTCAAGATAACATGACCTTGAATGACGTCACACCTCTGATTCGACACCGCCATCTCTCGTCAGATTTGCGTCTTAATGAATTCAATCAAAGTGGTCAAGCGAAATGGAATTATGCGGTTTTAAGTAATACAACATACTATTTCATCACGCTGTACGAAAAAGTAACTTTGTAGGCACGCTTTGCGTGCCTAAAACGTCCCTTTTCCACACATTGTGATGAAAAATATCGTTCGATACTCGTGGGAAAAGTATTTTTTGGCTCGTGGAATTATATCACTCGCCTTCGGCTCGTGCTATAAACCTCCTACGAGTCAAAAAACTCTTTTCCGCCCTCGTAACGAAATATACTATTTCATCACTTGTGCGTAAAGTGCAATTTTACGCACGCTCCACGTGCGTGTGTCGAACCCTATTTTTCATCACATCATGATGAAAAATAGGGAAATAGGGAATAGGAAAATAACTACTATTATGTTTTACTGAAAAGAATTGTTATTATTTCAAATAATTGATTTTTCAATTTTATAATTATTATATTTTATTATTACTATCATTATTATTGGTATTATCATTATTACAGGTATATGTACTGTATATCGCCACTGTCCTGCAAACGGTAAATAATATTAAAAACTATTATTATTTTTCACTGAAAAGAATGATTAAAAAACTAAATAATTATTAAAAAATAATACGTGCGGAAAATTTCCCTTTACACACAAGTGACGAAAAATTTTTCAGATGTGATTCATAAAAAAAACAGTTTTTTCAACAATATCATAAATAAATCGACAAAAAATAATGATGTATAAGGAGTTGATGAGTGACGTCATTATTGACAAATCCTTGTTGGGCAAACAATTTATTTCAATAATTTCGTCATAAAAAAAAAAATGAAATATCCCTGTCAATTTCAGAAAGACATGTGCAAACACCATGAATAGAATCTAATTGCATTATTGTATTATAATACATGGGGGTTTTTTTAATGGCTTCATATAACATGTAACTATAAATTTAATTTACGGCAAAACGAAACTCACTGTTTTGTCCCACCTTTCTATGACTAAAGGTATGTGACGTGGCATCCGGTAGGTCATGAGATTGCCGTGCAATATCAGCAGGATACCCGCAGCTTGTTCACCTGGATGAGCAACTTTATTAGCAGCATTGGTCATTCGACACTTGTGCCTAGTCCACTTACCCTCATATCCTTCACACTGATGATCCTCGCCGCTGTGACACTATCACTGGGTTTGACGTTTCACGAGCGGTATTATAGGACGAAAAAAGTGTGCGCCAGATGTCGATAGAGCGACACCAGATGCTTAACAATAAAGTTCTCTGAAAATCTTCAATTGTCTTTCCTTTCTTCATCTTTCGCTTGATTGAAACTGCTTGGTTTAACCGGATATGAAGGATTTTGTGGAACTTTTCAATTCCTTCATTCCAATAATTAATGAAAAATTTGGTTTAAATTCCAGACAAAACTTTTCAATTTTTTTTTTATGATTGAAAAATTATTAATTATGACTTTGAAAGGCTTAGAATCTATGTTGCAGCGGATAGAATAACATATAATTTCACTTTCGAGTTGAACCCGAGAAATACTCATATGCTACAATGTATATAATATAGTGGAATTGAGTGCAACAGATTCGTGGAATTCGTTGCAATTAAGGACCAGGTAGTATTCTTAAATTGATAAGAAATGGTTTATTATCAATCTTCGGCACAAATTTCTAAAAAAGATCTGACACTTTGGCCCTAGTGACCATTTGACCGACTTTGAAAAAATAAAAAATCTGACACTTCGGCCCACGGTGCAAAAATTTTTTTTTCAGTTTTCACTGTTTCCACATACTTTTTGAGAGTTCTGAATAGCCCGTCGCTTAAATAGTTGGAATCGATGTTCACCCGGCTAAAAAATTCGATTTTGGCGAAAGTCGACTTTCCGCCTGGAAAAACGGAAAATCTGACCCTTTGAAAATCGGAAAAAAAAACTTTTTCAGCTTTCACTTTTTCCACATAGTTTTGAGAGTTCTGAATAGCCCGTCGCTTAAATAGTTGGAATCAACCTTCACCCGGCTAAAAAATTCGATTTTGGCGAAAGTCGGCTTTCCCTCTGGAAAAATCGAAAATCTGACCCTTTGGCTCCGGGTGAAAAAATTTTTTTTTCTGTTTTTCTCCACTTGAACAACCAAACATCAATAATCTTTCAGAAAATACCAAATAAATCATGATAGCATGGGCGAGTTTTGCAGATTATCCATTTTCTGGAACAACGACAATGATTATTCCGCTGGATCTATTCGGACCTTCCAAAACAAAAAACTTGAAATGGGCCAAAACGACAGTATTAAGCAACGAGGAGTGCTCCGACTACTGGCCTGAAGTGCGTGAACATAATATTTGCGTTACAGGAAATACTGGAATTCATCCAGGCCTAGGAGACAGTGGTAGTTCGCTGGTGCATAGAACCCGCTACGGCCCACTGCTAATTCGTATTGTCAATTTCAATAATAGACAATGTCCGAGCTCAAAAGCCACTATTTTCTTACGGACTTCCGCAATAATCACTGATACTAAATGTTACAGACGAAAATTCTTGAGTGACTGTTTCACAATCACCTCTCGCTCCTTATATTACCCAGACATGTACCCAATGAGATACTGACTAACGTATACTATCATTTTAGTCCACTCTTAGATTTACTTAAAAAACTAAAGAAAAATCTAAACAGATACTGAAATAATCACGAATTTATGAAAAACTTAAAATTAAAATTGTGAAAAATTAATTCCCTTTTGGTTCTTTATTTTCATTACTGGTTTCCTTTTTTTATCGGCTCCTCAAATATGTATTTTTGAACTATTAACAAATGAACATTTTGGTGAGACTGAACAGATTCTAGCCTCCAGCCAAACCCATTCGTTAACAATATCTAATCCTTTCTGTCAGTGCACATACCCACTGAGAGAAAAAATTTGCCGTGCCGAAGAACTATATGCTCCATGTGAGAATATTGGATGGAGTCGAACGCATGTACTTGAGGGAAATTAACCCTAGATTGGTCGTCACCCGAGCGAAACGCCGCGCGTCCTTTTTCCTTAACTACTGGCTGTTGGGAAAAATTCATAAATATTTGATTTTGTCTGTTGACGCATCTAAAGAATTATAGCAGTTTTTGGAACAATATATTTCCCGAAATTCCTAAAGAAAATGAATTATTTCGAACAGATGAATTATTTTTTCCCATGTTGGATGGAGTTGCCCATCACGCGACGTTGCCGGAAACTCGCTAACCGCGCCCGAGCAGTGTAGAGTGAATTCGGCAACACTGGAGCCTAAATAACACAGCGGGGAATCCCCGCGGAGGTGACTAGAGTCGCCGGGTCGCGTTTGGTGACCAGACTAGGGTTAACCAACTTAATAGAAAGAAATTTAATATCTTTCACAAAAATTAAATTTTTGTCGCCATCATCAGAAATATCCCTAGAAGAATTCGAACTGTTGGCAGGAAAAAATATAATCTATTGTTCGACAATCATTTGGTCTGAGAGAACTCCATAGGTTTATACCATAGAAAAAATACATTAATGAGGAAAGAATATTTTTTTCCCCAAAAAAATTGTCCCCTCGAAATTATTTAGTTTTGCCAATAACACAATTTTCGGCAAGAAAATTGTAGTTTCCTCTTGAAATTATCATTTGTTCCATGGAAATTATCAGTGTTTATTGGACAAAGATCTACACTACTCAATAACATTCACTTGATAAAACCGGAGCCTCATATAATTCTCTGTAGAACGAACGTATTTACTCGAAAGACATATAAATGTCTCACGAGAACAATTGCTGCTATTTTTTTTTCTCAGTGTAAGGTATAATTTTATTGAGTGTACGTTTTGAAGAAAATTTTTTGACAATTTTTATCTTCTCAAGAAATCTCTTCCCAGGAACATAACTTTTCCGCAGAATTAATTTGTTCTCTCAGTGTATCATATTCGAACTCCTGTGGTCAAAATTACTCATCCTGACACAATAACTGGGAAATTTCTCTCACCGACAGTGTAAATAACCCTCATATGGGTTCTATACTATAAACCAATAAAAAAAATAATAAAAAAACTGGGAAATTTCGGATTTGATGGAGACAACACTTTCATTCGGGGGCAAAAACCGAAATTCATAATGGGTGAGATGCAACTCTCACTCGGTGGTTTTGCAGTCCCCTCTTTGAGAAACCCTACCACTCTGTAATGAAATAACTCCCCCCCGCTCATGCCTCTTCTTCGCTCCATCGCATGGGTAACGCACAACTGTCCAGAACATCTTTGCGTTTTGGTCAGTCGTTAAAATGACCTATTCCACTCCATTTATCATCGCATTTCTGTCTCTCAGTTTGTGGTTGTGCACTGAAATTTGCGCTGGCGATACAATTAGCAATGTTATGGGCCCGAAAGACTGCGGTGAATGTGAATTGTACAGGTAATTGATCATTCAGTTGTCTCTAATTCAGATCCCTCGAGAAATCGATTATTGAGTAATCGGCGAAATCGTCGAGTCGTGAAAAGTCAAAAAATGATTTTCGAGAATTCATCATTTAATAGTGAACAACCAAAATCGCGAGTCGTGGAATGAAAACTCATTACTAATTTTTTAAATTCTACTCATGCCTTACGGTTCACCAATTGATGAAGATTTCATACAAAAAATTTATAAGGATTTGTTCGTGGAAAATTTTCTCCTCTACAAAAAAGTTTTTCGACATTTTCTGCCAAATCCACTTGTTTCCGAAATAATTAGTGATGAAATTATAAAATTGTACCATTTCTCGTGTTACGATAACCGCCTCAAGCATCACGGTCGTCCCCACTTCTCCAGATTATGTCCGTGTGTCAGTGGCACCCCGTGCACTTCTCGTGGCGCTCACTACCGCGCACGAGTCCCCACTCTGCCCGCACCGACCAGTGTCGTGCCTTTGATAACTGAGAGGGTTAAGGATGTGTAGCCAAAACCCGCATTATTCACCATAATTTTGATACTGACTCATATGCCAGGTTCATATTTGAGCCACACGTTAGTAATAATCTGAATCCTTCCATCGGGGCAATCCTAGTGAGAAATTGATGTCTGAAAATCACTTCTTGTAACATTACGCTTAGGGAAGAAACGTGACCGTGTGAACTTTGAGCGAGATGTTGCATGGGTTAGACACTCAAGATATTGAAAAAAAACCACAAGCCATTTACTTTAGACTATGGAGAATCTATCGCCGGCGAGAACAAGTAGGGGACCGGGCCATATAGGCGTGATATCTTCGACTGATTTTCGAATTCCTCTAAAAAAATTTGACCGCCATTACGAGTCGAGCAACGCGACAACACCGCACAACAGCTGATCGAGGTCGGTAAAGTCGGTGACGATAATTCAGTGCTGGAAGCATATGGACATGTATAACACACACAAACATTCATCTCACTGTTACAACCCCAGTACTAGCCGAAGCGTGCGATGTTGCCCGATCAAAATTCGACTGTTACCACTGCAGTCGCAAGTCCTCCATTATTTATGAACATTTTCTTTAATTACTGTTTTTGAGACTGGAAAAGCACACCATAACACTTCTAATTTGATGAGAAAAATAATTTGTAACATGAATGATTTATGTAGTCAATTTTATTTTTCTTCTCAACTGAGTTGTCCACTTGATAGGTTAAACATCCTTAAATTGCAACGGACCCTGTTAATGTGTCGCGCGGTATTTTCAAATTCTTTAAGCTCACAAATTATTCTCCGCGTCGTAATTGGCAATTTTCTCATGTTTATCATGCGCGAAAATGATCAACTATTCTTTCTGGGATTTTCATTCTTCGTGTACTTTCATGAATCTCGTCAAGTTCAATTCCTTCCACTTTCCTTTTTTCGCGAATGGTATAAATTGATTCTAAATTCTGGGCAGTCGAAAGAATTCCAGAGTTTCTTGGGAAATTCTAGGAAAATTATTCAGTTTTCTAGAAAACTAATTCATGACGCTTTCATTATTTTTCAACAATTACGGGTATTGATCGGATCACAATATTCATATCATCATTTTGTTATCGAATGAACTTCCAGGTGCCTGGATAATGCCTCAAGATGTCTCCTGGGATCCGTCGCGGACCCCTGCGAGTGCTGTCCGGCTGGTAGATGCGCTAAACTCGAAGGTGAGAGCTGTTGGAATGCCAGTATCAGCAGTCTCGATCCCAAAAGACGAAAGGACGGCTTTTGCGCTACAAATTATCTCTGTCAATTGAGAAATGATCTTCTTGACGAGGTAATTTTACACAGATTTCCTCAGAATCCCTATTCTAAATTCATTTTGTTCACCTACACGGAGAAAAAAGGCAGAAAAAAATTACCGAATAAGTCAAGTAATCGTGGAGCGAACTCGACAATTGAAGACATAACAAATGAAAAAACCCAATACAATAAATCTGAAATACTATTTCTATTCGATTTTCATAAAACGGTCTGACAGTTTTACTGGAATTTTAAGAAATTTCGTGACTGAAAATTCACGATTCAATCAAAAAATGAAGGGACGCCGTGAATTTTAGTTTAATTGTTCCGAGAAAATTGATAGACATCAAGAAATTTCTGACGGACATATTCTTAATTTTTTGGTTGATTGAAAATTCAGTGTAATTTGCAACTAAATATTCATGTTCTGATTGAAGATTCAAATCAATTAAGGAATTCTTGCCTTTCTCATACTATATGATAAAAATTTTGAATTTTGACTTTTGAACTTTAAAAAAAATCGACTTTGAAAATGAATAAATTGAAGAAAAATCAATGGCAACTTCGAATGTTAGTTCAATTAGTCCACAAAAATTACTAGAAATCAGGAAATTTCGGGAAAATATATTCTTAATTTTTTAATTAATGAAAAATCCAGCGTAATTTTTGGTGCAACGCAAACCTAATTCGATGGAAAATTCAAGTAAATTGATTAATTCTCATTCTCCAGCTGCTAAAAACCGTGGAATTCCAATAAATTCCCAGTGACATGCAAAATTTCATTATTCCCCCCCCCCGCCCCCCACCCCACGAAATTCCAATTTTATCGAACTAGTGGACTAGCAATAACGTTTTTCTCCAACAAAATACGGGGGAGAACTATCATAATTTCTCTCAGTGCGGAACGGCTATAATTGCATCGTGTTAGAATAGTTGACAAGATAATAGCAAGTGTCGGTGACCCGTCGTCAAGACCCGTGTAGGCAGTGCCGAGTGTTAAATGCACTGCAATCAAGCAATCAGACGCTATATTGATTGTAATACGTAGCCATCTGCAGTAGCTTTCTCGCCGACTAGCCGTGCTCTGTTCATATTTTTGCGTTTACAATTCATTGAACAGCTCGCGGAAAAGCGCATAGAAGCTATGATCATAGAGGCATACTATCTATAAACGATGAAAGTTTCGTGAAGTTGTTTTACATCGACATTCGTTTTTATTGCTACAAAAATACATATTATCGTATCATCATAACTTCTAGGTCACCTGGCCCTCAAAGTTTACAAAACTCCTGAATATTCATGAATTTTTCACTTACTATTCATTTTCATTATTGATTGAGCTTTTATTGAGCAAATATTGGGCCGACATAGGGCCAACCCTGGACCGACATTAGCCTGACACTGGCCCAACCGTGAGCCGACGTCAGCCCAACTCTGGGCCGGCATTGACCCAACCCTCGGCCGACACTGGCCCGACATTGGCCCAACCCTGGCCCGACATTGACACTGTCAAGTCAAGGTTGAACTTCCCTACTAATCTGAAATTCATAACAAAAAACCGAATATACAATTTTTTGTTTCAATTCGATTAATCCATTCGGAAGAAAATTGCTGATTTATTAGCAAAAAAATAATACTAGATTTACACCTGTGCGATGAGCCACTTGTTTATAATGCATTCATGAGTAAATGGAATATAATTTTAATTATTCAATTCAACATCTCAATTAGTGAAATAATTAAATTTAATCTGTTTAGTTGATTATCAATGAGAGCAGTTCATGAATTTAGATATGATTTAGGACGAGCCAGAGGCGGTTTGCGTGTGCATGGAGCAGAGCCCGGCGTGTGGAAGTAACAATGAGACTTATTCGACACCCTGCGCTCTTCATGAGGAAGCGATGCGGCTTAGGAAGGCTTCACTCAAGCTCAAACACCTCGGGCCGTGTCCCAGCCGTCCGTGGATTTTCTCACCACTGAGGGATACTGCTGCTCCCTTCGGTCAACGAGTCGCATTCAATTGTGAAGCCAAGGGCTTCCCCGTCCCGGATATTTCCTGGGAATTTCGCTCGGCTACTGATGGCATTGTTCTCAAATTACCAAGTGAGTTTATTGGTTATTGAATGGGAATGAAAGCATCGTCACGTATCGCTTGGGTTCAAGATATTGTCAACGAAATGATTTTCAAAACTCATCCTTTATTTTTTTTTCAATCCTTTTATTTTACGATTTGCGTTAAGCATTTCTGGCTGAAATTTTCGGTACACTTTTTGGACGGTTTTTTCACATTTTAATTTCACGGAAATTTCAAGAAATTTCGTTACTGAAAATTTAGAATTTCATGGGGAAATGAATGAAAACTGTAAATATTATTATTATTCTAATTATTTCCTGAAAATGAAGAAAAATCAGTAAAAATCCAAGTCAAGTTCCAATTGATTGAAAATTTAGTGTCATTTGGTACTGAATATTCATGTTTTCATTGAAAATTCAAGTAATTTGAGAAATTCTCGTCATGCTGCTAAATTTTTTTTCGTGAAATCTGAAATTTTATGATTTTTTTACCCAAAATCGCATTCATCAATTATTATTCCTGGAGAATGACTAAAAATCAGTGAAAATCCAAGTCAAATTCCAATTGATTGAAAATTTAGTGTCATTTGGTACTGAATATTCATGTTTTCATTGAAAATTCAAGTAACTTGAGGATTTCTGGTCATTATGCTGCTAAAAAATATGGAATTTAATGAGTTTTTAGTGCAGTAAAAAATTTCATGATTTTTTTTTTCAAAAATCGCATTCAAGGCACTCTTTCAGCCTAATTTGTCTATTTCTTTCTCTTTTGATTGTGAGCCCTGCACACATTATTTGCAATCTCCTACTGTTCTAGTATAGTTATTTGCTCTTATTTTTCTGTTGTATGACCTCATCGTTACTTATTCTGTACACACGAAGAGAAAAGTTCAATAAAAATTACCAGAAAAAAAACGTAAAAATTTCGTTTCAAAACTTAATTCGCGAGCGAAGTAAAAATCAATAAAAAATGTGAGTCGGAACTGAAATTCCGATTCTACGATTTGTTCTGTAAAAATTAACCACCCGTCTGATCACTCACCGGTGTGGGGACAACAAGTCGTTCCGTAATTTTTCCCCAACGATTGAGAAATTTTACGGAACGGAACATAGAAATAACTCACTATCTTCATAAAAATTGTTGAATGTTCAAGAATTTTTGATTTTTGAGGCATAATAAGTCGGCAAGTTTCTGTAAGATTTTCCTTCTTCGGGAAAAATGACGTGACAATTTCGTAATTTGCTCGGTGATGAACCTGAAAATTCACTGAACGTTTCAGATTTCTTCTCTACGTGAATTGTTCCGTAATTTTTACTGAATATTTCTCTCCGCGCAACATAATTCATACAGTGAATAAATTTCAATCAATGAATCCATCAAAATTCAAGACGAAACGTTTCAAATAGTTTTTTTGTTGAAAAAAATCAGTGAAAAATGATTCCTCTCGCCGTTCAAAAATGAATTGAAGAAACAACTCCAGTCATTCAGTCATGACTTTATTCTCATTTCGTTTATCAAAGCTTATAAATGTCAATGATTTTCCATCAACCATAATTTATCTACTTAAAATATTTCATTCCAGATGAAGAGCACGGGGGAACAGTGCACACAACCGACGGCCCCGAGAATCTGATGAAAACATCCTGGATGCAAGTTTCATCAGTCATGAGACAACACACTGGAACGTACCAGTGCATTGCTAACAACACACTGGGACGTGCAAGCTCAGCCGCCTTTCTGTCCGTCATGATGTAATTCTAGATCTCCTCGTCTTCACTGTTAATTCACCCTCGGGGGCCATATCTTTCGGTCAGTTGCACCAATTTACAAGACAGATGAAACTCCACGAAATATGAAGCAGGCATCATTCGTCATTTTTTGTTGAAATATCTCGAGAAATTTTACGAAATAAAGTATAAATACTAACAAATTCTACACCCTTCCCAACTATTTCGACGAACAATTTTTCGTATTTCGGTGATTGCGTCATGAAAGATCAGAAACAAAATATCAAAATATAAATTCAAGATAAAACCTTATAAGTCGTTTTTTCATGTAGAATAAATAATTGTGAAATGATGCATGAGGTATTTTACGCTATTTCAACCCGGGGAAATTGGATTTTTATTTTTTAATGCAAATAGAATCAATCGAAAGAGGGGCCCAGATTTTATTCACTGTCGAAAAAATTTAGAAATCAATTTTTTTGTGTAAATTATGACAGTTGAAAAATTAGGCCGAGCAAAGAGAGGCTCGACGTTGAATATTTGGCAGTCCACTAGGGGGCGGTGCGCCCCGCTCGCTTCGCTCGCCAATCCCTGGAGGGGGTACGCCCCCTGCTCACTTCGCTCGCGAATCCCGAGAGGGGGTACGCCCTCCGCTCGCTTCGCTCGCTCCCCTCCCATTCTCCTTGGGTATATTTAGGTGTTCGTATTATATCGAAAAAAATAATGAAGAACTCCTCGGGTGTGGCCTTTCATAAATGATCAGGGTAAATTATATAGAAGATGACCCTCGTATTAGCCAACAGAGCGGCTTGACTTTGAAAATTGATAAGTCCGTAACTATGCATTTTATGGAAAAAGTGCTAAAAGACTTTTTCGTTGAGAGAACATGTAAAAATGATGTAAAAAATTGTTGATTGAAAAAAAAGTATTTTTACTTTTTAAATAAACAATTACAAAAGACGTGGCAACATAGACAGTTCCATTCCGAAGATTTTGAAAGAAAATAATGTCGTGAAGCATATTGTTGCGAAGTTTGTATTAAATTTTTGTGAACTTGTTTCAACACTTCGATGAGTTGCCCATTTCTTGATGGAGTCGCGCGCGACGCAAGATTTTTCAGTCTTACCATTTCGTTCATAAAATAAGCGAAATTGTAAGGCTAAAAAATTTCTCCCGTACTGAGCTTCTTGTAGTCCAAACAATCAATTTCAAAAATTCTTCATTAAAAAAAAACAGAATTATCTATTAGACTGAAAGAAATCGACCGAAATGAAAAACAGATTTATCGAAATCTTCGCATATTATGATATTTTCTCATGATATTTCACGGCGCAACCCTCAATAAAGTCCGATATTTTCAGTCATTAACACTTCATTACTTCGGAAGAGTTTCCTCATTCTTCTTTATTCACCTTGTATTGATTTATCTCCTCACCAGCCCCTTTCTCAGGGTCGAATGAATCCTATATAGTCACCCAATTGCCCTGTGGCGGTGGGGGTCTGTAATATTCATTTTTGTATTATTTTCAATAAAAAAAATTGATGAAACGAGGTATAAAGACTGATGTTTATTCACTCACGGCGGCGTTCGCCAAGTGTCTCTGTTGATGCTCTGGGTATCAGGCGGTGTTCTACACAGAAATAACATTTTCATTCTGTTATAGCATTATCTCAAAGTAAAATATTTGCATTTTATTATGAGCACGGTAAGCAGTGACTCACATTATTCCCGACTGGAAGGCGTCAATTTTTTTCGAGTCACGTCGATACACCGAGGCCAGGGTATGTGCGACAGGTGTACTGAGCATCATGATCAGGATGCATAAAACTGTGAGGAACCAGCATCCATTCTGCACTCGAAGGTGAATATATCGTTAATAATTATGTGAATAGCCGGAGAGGGGATGAAGGGGTAATGCCACTAACCAGTGGACCTAGTACGTGCTGACACATTAGTAATTTAATACCATTAGCGATGTCCCACAGTGGACGACACTTGGTAACACCTGCTCTCATTTCATTGAAAACGTGAGTGCGCCATTGATCAAGATAACCAGTCAATCTTTCAACGTAACTCTTGGTTTTCTGGAATTAATGGGATTTATTAAGGTGGAAAGTGGCGGAACTTGATGGGTCAAATGCTGTTTTTTTTTAATGTGGAGAAGGTGAAGATGTTTCATTTGGGGTAGAAGATTGTAATGAACGCATCAGAATGATTGCATTTCCGATTTTTGTTTCAATTCAGTAGCGGAGCGGTAAATTGGGTTAAAGTAGCTCTACTCTACGGTAAATCCAAAGATTATTGAAAACTGCAAAAAAATTGCTGAAAACTCGATTAGATTCGGAATTCTAATTTTTTTCTCAATTTAATTATCGTTTTGGTTTTTTAAAGAAGAAACATTTAAAAATCAAGATTTAACCCAGTGTCTTATGTGAAAATCAACATTTCCGTTGTGATCAAAGATTAAAATCGGAATTCTTTTTCATTAGATGTGAAAAAATCAAGAATTTTTTTGACACCTCATAAAAAATAATCCACCATTTTGCAAACAAGTTTTATTATTTATTTATAAGAGGGAAATCAGAGAGAGAGACTGTTAACTCCGACCCCCGGAGACACATTGTATATAAAGATTTTGTATCTTTGAACAATAAATTTATCTCTATAAGAGGGAAATCTTTGAAAAAATATCAGTATTTTGCGAAATTTAATTTAGATAATACTGACTGGGTATGAATTTTTCCAAATTTTTTCCATGTAATTTAGTTGAAAAATTTAAAAATTGAAAATATCCATTTCATTGAAAACGTCAGTGCGCCATTGATCAAGATAACCAGTCAATCTTTCAACGTAACTCTTGGNGAAGGTGGAAAGCGGCGGAAATTGATGGGTCAAATGCTGTTTTTTTTTTTAATGTGGAGAAGGTGAAGATGTTTCATTTGAGGTAGAAGATTGTAATGAAGGCATCAGAATAATTGCATTTCCGATTTTTGTTTCAATTCAGTAGCGGAGCGGTAAATCGAGTTAAAGTAGCTCTACTCTACGGCAAATTCAAAGATTATTGAAAACTGCAAAAAAATTGCTGAAAACTCGACTAGATTCGGAATTCTAATTTTTTTCTCATTTTTTTTCATTATCGTTATGGTTTTTCAAAGAAGAAATGTTTAAAAATCAGGATTTAACCCAGTGTTTCAGGTTCTGGAATTAATAGGATTTATTAAGGTGGAAAGCGGCGGAACTTGATGGGTCAAATGCTGTTTTTTAATTAATGTGGAGAAGGAGAAGGTGTTTCATTTGGGGTAGACGATTGTAATGAACGTATCAGAAATCGGGTTAAAGTAGCTCTACTCTACGGTAAATTCAAAGATTATTGAAAACTGCAAAAAAATTGCTGAAAATTCGATGAAATTCGGATACTATTATCATATCCACCCTCCAATAAAATCATACTCCATAGAACAAACATAAATTACCATTTGAGCAATAACATCCCCTTGATCATCGATATAACTCTGAACAGCCCTCAAATGGACAAGAGTTTGATTAGCTTTCCGATAAAACGGCTGCAGCTGCATCTCCAGAGTAGTGAGTTGATCGATAAGATTGTCCTGAATTTCTATGAGTGGTCTAACTTTTTTCACAATGAGACTCTGCATCGCCGTACTGATGCCCATGAATGCCTTTGAACTCCTCATATCGGACAATTGATTTCCAACATTGTAAATTTGATTTGACATCGTGATCATGTCTTGACTGACAATTGGCCCTCGAATCTGCATCAATTGTGTTCATCAAACCGACAACTACTCTCTCAGAAAACTTTTAATTGACGGTGTCTATCTATTACCATTATCTTGTGCTCGGTGAGATTAGGTCTACAAGCGTACAGAAGGCTCTCCAGCTTGCCCTCCAAGCTCGGTGTGAGTATCTTAAAACCTTTGAGATCCACTTTCAACAGAGAAAAGGCTTTGGAAAGTCCCGGCCACATCCAGTAATCTGCCAGTTGTTCCAAGTTTGAGGTTTTGCCTAGTGGAAACGCGGGATAAACCGCTTCATCCTGCTCGCATTTTCTTTAGAAAGAGAATAAAAAAATTTCAACTTGACCTAGGAGTTATGAGATTTGTCCATTATTAATGCAACGACGCTGTGAAATGGAGTGTCTTGAAGGCACGGACGAAAAAATTTAATAGAAAAACACTTCGAATTCGGTAAAAAATTCTATTGAATTTCTATTGAACTGTTCTATTAGTTTTTGGCCGATTCTATTGAAATGTTCAATAGAAAATATTCAGTAGAAAAAGGCAATAGAATTCAATTTTTCTGTGTAACTTATTCTATTGAGATATTTTCTATAGAATTTCCTCGGCTCAATTTTTTTAAGTTTTTTCGTTTGATTTTCTTGATGAGAAGAAGAGAAAAATAGAATGAAAAACTTAGAAAATTTGAGTCGAGCAAATTCTATAGAAAATATATGAAAAGAATAAGTTATATAGAAAAATTCTTGCCCGTAAAATACGAAAGTGTTTTTTTTTTCGATAGATATTCATGTTTTGTTATTGATAACATGAGTGAAGGTCCTTTATTTTACCTCCCGTGGTCAGAACTGTATTTTTCGCTTCAGCACGGAGAAAAATATTCAGTAAAAGTTACGGAACTCACAATTTGCTCATCGATTACGGAATCAACTCAGAAAATTTTAAGTAGCTCTATGCTTCAGCCGGGCTACCCTGTACTTTTGGATATTTTCAGTTTTTAAATTTCTCAACTAAATTGCATGGAAAAAATTTGAAAAAATTCATACCCAGTCACTATTACCTAAATTAAATTTCGCAAAATATGGATATTTTTCAAACATTTCCCTCTCATAAATAAATGATAAAACTTGTTTGCAAAACGGTGGATTAAGGGAGGATGGGGCAAAACGGCCCCCCTTCAATCGTCAATATTTTCCGATTCAATAATCAGATTGGGATGAGTTAGAGCTCGTTTTGAAGAATGAAAAATTATCTTCAAAATGAAGTTGAAACTGGGAATTTTCACAATGTCATTCACAAGTTATTGACAATTGAAGGGGGGCCGTTTTGCCCCACCCTCCCCTATATTTTATGAGCTGTCAAAAAAATTCTTGATTTTTTCACATCTAATGAAAAAAAATTCAGATTTTAATCTTTGATTACAATGGAACTGTTGATTTTCACATAAGACACTGGGTTAAATCCTGATTTCCAAACATTTCTTCTTTGGCGCGATACGCGCGCGTATGGTTTTGCATGTGGCGCTATAATATGATTTTTCATTTCGTTTTGTTGTATTTAGAAAAAAAGAATATATATATATATCCGAATAAACCGGTGACAAAAAATGTTACATTGGATTTTTTTATAATGGATTTCAATAATCTTTGAATTTACCGTAAGAGTGGAGCTGCCTTAAGTGACGGTACACTGAGAAAAAAATTTATTTGCGAGAAATAAATTTTCTTAACACAAGTAAATATTCAACTGTCCCATGCAAAACCTCCATTTGATTACTTGTGTCAAGAAAATTTTCTCTGTTTTTCTTGGGAGAAGTAAATTTTTCTCTCAGTGTATCGTAATTTTTCACAGGAGATTCAGATAAAAATTATGGAACGCTCTTCAAAAATTCCGTGACAGTTCCGTAAAATTTCCTACAAGCACATTTCGCTCCGGAATTACGGAAAAGATAGGTAATTTTTATTGAATATTTCTCTGCGTGAGCGCAGGCGCAGTCAGATTTTTCTCCGGAGGTAAAAATGTTCTTTGCGCCCGCCGGGGCGAAAAACATTATGACGCTCTCACGTCAACACGATGGGCTTTAAAAAAAGCCACTTTAAATCCCTTGAATTTGTCAACCCAAACTCATTAAAAAAAGTCTCAAAAATGTCTCGCCACAGGCCACTATTTAACTCTCAACACTTAAGAATGAAGCATACATACTGCAAAAGTTCATTGAGTGGCATGGCCAACGGTTGCCCCAAAAACAATTTGGACTCCAGAATAGTTTCCAATGTTCGATAGTTGGGATCCTCGAGTGGCCGGCATACCAGCATCTCCGTATGGCTGGAAATTCCAAGTGCTCCTATCACAACGCCCCAAAGGCCAATGGATGCAAGACAGCTGACTACAGCAGCACTGATTATTCGAGTTGAATTCCATTAATTAATATATCCGAGTGTATTGTTAGTACTAATTGTAAACTATTCTGGCGTTTCAAATGTTCTACGAAATTGCGCATAGCTTCTGCAATGGAGGCGTTGTGAGGGCTTTTCGGAAGCGTCTGTGAAAGGTCAATTTTGGGAAACAATGTTGGATTTTAGTGGAGGGTGAACTTACCACAACAGCGTAGGACGTATTTTACCCTCAGTTGATCCACAACGACATATCAGGGCAGCCATCAGCAATATCCAGACAAGAAGAACACCGATGACAGCACCTGCGGAATACGAGAGACCAAGTGTTCGTTCCCATTATCGTGTTCGTGAATCGTTTCCATAATTCATGTTATTGCTGTGCATGTTAATGTACATTCTGCTGTTCACAGTTGCTATTATCTTCGTTATTATTTGGTGAAATTGGGGATTTAAGGCCCGGGTGTACTATCTTTCGAACGTTATTTCGATATTTTTTTTCATCTTTCGTCATCTGAAATTGTCAATTAAGTCCTGCATCATGCAGAAGTTTTGAAAAATTATGAATGAATAATAAAAATAAAGTAGAAAAAATTCTTAATTTTTTCAAAGAGCATTTTTAATTCAGTAGCGAAGCGGTAAACCGGGTTGAGTCGATTTCGGCTATTGGCCAGTTTTTGACGAATATCTCGGAATCTAAAAGAGATAGACAAATTTTTGTCTTGACCTTTTTTATAACCCTCAATGAACTCTACAAAAAAGGTCACAATAAAAATTTTTCTATCTCTTTTAGATTTCGAGATATTCGTCAAAAACTGACCAAAAGTCAAAATCGACTTCACCCTGTTTACTGCTTCGCTACTGAATTAATATTCAGAATAAGTTAAATAACAAGAAATTGAAAAATGTATCAGATTTACGGTGACAAATGGCGGCCTGTCACCCAATATCATGCAGGGGGAAGACTGATTTCGTAAATCTTTTCCCACACTGCGCAGAGACATTTATTACGGAAAAGGCTCTTTGAAAAAAGTTGTAATATTTTGGAGAATTTTTTAATCACACTTTTATCACATAAAAATGGCAGATGACTACATACCACTGTTTTGAAAATTGAAATACCTAGCTGTCACTTCCCATGAGTAGTTAGTGTTTTCTTATCCACCATGGAAAATGACAGCTAATAGATAATTTGCCACAGCGAATCAGATATTTGTAATTTCCACTTTTTTCAACTCATTCTGAATCTCAATTAAACACGCTCTTTGAAAAAGTTGAGAATTTTTTCTATTTTTTTTCATCATTCTATCATAATTTTTGGGAATTTCTACATGATGTACCACTCAATTGACAATTTCGGATTATGAAAGATTAAACAAATCCAGATAACATTCGAAAAATGGTACACCCGGGCCTTAAGTTAATTATTTAATGTTGCAACATAGCACTCTAGTGTTTAATCTCTAACAGGACTATTTATCACTGAAAATTCAACGTAACACATCTCCGTAAATTTGAAAATACGTGACTCGTCATAGTCATAGAACCGCTCTCTCCAAGTGACAGATCCATAAATATTCACATACCGATGCCGACCAGCCATCTGACTTCCTCAAACGCCTCGATATACGGCACAACGTAATTCGCGATTTTCCTCACTGTCTTTAATTGTCCGTTCAGTTCAGCACTAGTTGATTCAATGCTCCGTGCTTCCTCGAATATTCTGGTGCGCGCTGAATTTATCTCGCGTCGTATATCTGCAGCGAAGAATAAGACAAAAAAACCCATGATAAAAGGTAGAAGAGGAGGAGAAAAAGCTGAAGGAGCTCTTAAAATATTACTATTTTTGGGTTTACGAAAATCCTAGTGAGAAATCCGTTTCCACCTACCATCTACTGACTATGTGTACATAAGGAAGAGCATTATGGATTTCCCATTAGCCGTAGTCGGCGCGTCACCTATTTATTACTGGACCAACAGTGGGATTATGATGCTGTGGATGGAATGAAATAAACATTGAGTGTATGTGATATTCTGCAAACAGGGATGACTCGGTGGCTGTTTGCTGCTATCAATCAGACGCCTCAATTCGTTTGTGTGCCTTGGGCGGGGGGGG